TGTTAACGCTTTGCTTGATGCACAGCTAGGGAGCAAAGCCCTAGCAGTTCAGCAGTAACATTCCTTGCCCACATAAATATTTGTGGGATAGGTACTAAATACTAAGCTTCTACGCCTTGTGCTGTATTAATTCATTTGGTATTTTTTCTCTTCAGCATATGCTTTGTTTCCATTTCATTTCAGTTTTCACCTTGTAAAGTTTGCAAACTTCTAAGCATTTGAACTTTTGAAGTGTTTTGGGGAAGAATCTAGTCTTGGCTAGCTTAGGAAACAATAGTGTGCTGTTTTGTCTGATGCAGCCTTCCTTCTCAATTCCATTACCCTGCATTGGATTTTTTTTCACTTGTAGTCAAATTCTGAGCAATATTTTTTTTCTATGGCTGCATGAGCAGTGCATTTGCAAATCACTTTTTAAGTTCCTGTGATGTAAAAAAAATCATTAGTTGTTATGAAAAATAACATAACAAAAATAACAAAAGTCTGTTACAAAACAGACATTTTCAGTATCAGCGAATGTCTGTATTTGGGCAAGTAAGAGTCAGCAAGAAGACTGTATTGCACCTTTTCAGCTTTTTGGTGTGATTTCGTGATAATTAGTATTTTTAGCTTAGCCTTCCTTCTGAGAATTCTAACAGAATACAAACTGCTCAAGAAACTGAATGAAAGATCTTTTTTAGAGGAATTTTAGGTAAAACTGAGCTGGTGATATATATAGTTACTTGCATGACTTCAGACAGTATTCTTTCTGAGCATAAAATAAGATACTTAAGTTGATCTGACAGTGAACTTGTACTAAGCATGTAACAATACAGTACATGATTACTGCAAGTGACAGCTCTTGAGCCTAGTGGCATAAAATGAATAATTTTCTTATAAAAATGACATTGTTTAGAAACCTCGATGAAAATGAATAACATCATTTCACATGAGAAAGACTTATTCTTTTCGTAAGGTTAAAAGTTGAGTGTTTCATCACTGCCACAGATAGTGTTATCACTGCAGTTGTCATTTGGACATGGTTATAGGGTTGAGCAACAAGGGCAGTTGCCCTTGACACTTCAGGCAATGAAGAAGGCCTCCAGCAAGACAGATTAATCATAGTGTAAGTTATCAAAATGTATAGGAGTAAGGGGCTGATCTGATAACTCTCAGCCCCTGTGAGTGTCATAGCTACTATATGTGATAGTGTTAACGAACTGTCAAGTTCAGACAAGTAGGGAGGGTCACGTCAGACCTTGAACTTTAGCCTTATGCTCTCCATAAAACCACAGAAAGCAGTGTTCTGTTTTCGCCCCACATCTGAAGATGTTTTGGCATCTTCTGATGTTGTTGAATTTGAGTGATGGATGTGCTTTTAGCATAGCTTTTTCACTTCCCTTTTAAACAATTAGTAATTGAAACAATTTACAGAGCTTTTGTTTGAACTTGCAAAGTCATATTCAGCTTAATATACAACTGTGTTGTATTTTCAGCATATCAGTTTAAAATGTGAGTAAAAATTATGTCGTGTAGAAATGCAGTTGATTGGATATAGCAAAATAGTTTTCAGTCATTCAGTTTGCATTATTTTTATCCTTTATGATGCTAGAACAAATGTTCAAATGCTGTAGGAAATTATAAGCACATGTTTACATTTTTGCAGCTAAATCTGTTTTTATGCACAAATGTTGCAAATGTGCTGGTGACTAAGCTGCTTGTAATTTAAACCGAAGGGTAACAACCTTTGGCTTTGTTTACAAACATTAAAAGAATAACGTATGTAGATGTCATGGAATGCCCCTGCTCAGGACCAAGAGTAGTAATTATGTAAAAGGGAAAAACAGACACTTTTATTACTATAAGTTGATTGATAGAATAGCTTTTGTGGCAAATATTTTTAGATGTGTGTCCCTGCTTTAAAAAATCAGTAAATTCAAAGTTTTCTTCCTCCTCCAGCTGATACTGAACTGTCTGGCACGCTGCTGCCAGCGAGTGTAATTCAGTGCAGCTTGATGGATGATTTCCTATGTTTGATCTTCATCGTGATTTTCGCTTGGCGTTCTCTGGACAGCCCTGGTCTGCTCTGTGTCAGGGAGAGCTCCCTTTCCAGCATGAGCATTCTTGGAGACCTCCAGTAGGAGGCAGACTAGGTTACATCTCATAGAACTTTCTTTAAAATAAGAGTAAAACTTTTGTGGCTTTCACTATAGATACTTAAAGTTTTGTGCCTGTTTTATCAGTCTGGCAAGAGTAAGTCAGAAAGAACTTGTATGAAATAACACTATAAGCCGCTGCTAGTGTATGTATTAGAATTGGCAGAAGCGGTTAAAGCTTAAATGTAGAAAATATTCTACACTAACAGGTCTTACAGGTTATCAAAAGAAATGCAAAATCCTATTTGCAGAAAAGTACTATTTCAAAAGACTTCCCCCTTTATGGATCTTGGGGGGAAGATGGCAGAACTGCCCAGCAATTGCTCAACTGTTCTAGTTATTGTACGTAAATAAGTATCACAGCAGTTGAAAGTATGCCATGCTTTCTCTGTGACCTGCAGGCAGACAACTACTTGCTCCCTCTACTCGAATGAAATTCTAAATTGCTAATTTGTCCTTTTAGCACAGTCTCATTTTTCACCATTTTCTGCCCCCAGGGCTGCTTCTCCCACTCTTTAACCTCTGTCTGCTTTGTCAGTTTAGACTTTAAAGTATGCTGTGACTGAGTTTATTAGGCTTTAACAGCAATTTCAGAGGCATTTTTACCTAAGCAGTGATTTTACAGAAAAGAAATAACAGGTAGCTTTTTCCTACTAAGTGAAAAAATGTATGCAATATTGCAGAAAGAAATGAAAGGGTAGTTTAAAACCTAAGCTAATGAATTAAGGCAGAGAAAAATTGAGAAATTTGGCCCAGGATGCTAATGCTGAGTAGTTGCCACTAACCGATACTCAGAGACAAGCATCAGTCCATAGCTCCCTGGACTGTTCAGTCGTGTAGTTCAGCAGCATAATGATAGCGTTACCCCTTAGCTGTTCATATTGGCTCGTGAAGTAAGAGGACTCATAATTTAGCTAAGTAACCTGAACATGTGGTATATGACATAACAGAACTTCCGTGTGGAGAGGTAAGAAAGGGCTTCTAAAAACCGGATGGAGGTTTGGATTGTTGGTTGTTATTTATTTATTTACTTGCTTACAATGTCCTGCACCAAGATGTTATTCTCAGCTATTTCTAATTTTATCCAAGTCTTGGGAGAAGACACAAGCCTGAAATACTCCCAAGACCACTGTACATATCCGCATTGCCTTTTGAGGCTTTTAAGCAAAGACTGCTGTCTGCAAATGTTATCTGCACTTGTGTTGGATAATGTAGGAGCTGTTCTTTGAAAAAAAAAAAAAAAAAAAAAATTACTTGTTTGTCTGACTTTGCTGACAGGACAGATGCTATGAATGAAGTTGACTGGACCATATGGCTAATAAGGATGCCCTTGAATGTGCTTAACAGCACAAGCGCATCTGAGATTTTCTTTCTGAGAGTAGTAATTTTATCACACCAGACTTGCTCCCAAAGGCTCTGTAAGTATTAACTGGTAGTGCTGCAAGAGCAGATCTGTAGCCCAGCTGATGTTAGTGAGAGCAGATCTGTGACTCAGTTGATGTTGAGGACTGTATGTGTTTCCAGGGGTTTTGGACTAGCTATAGCCTGGTCCCATGGAGTGAATGATGGTAACTCAGGATGAGTCTGAGGATGGTAACTGTTGGTTCAGTGGGATCTGAGAGGAGCTCAGTTGACACACTGAGGTCACTCTGCAGTGTGAACCACATTCCCCTTAGTGGGACAGTTGGGAGACTGACTTCAAACTGTTCCAAACTAAAGCACTAGTGTAGGCATACGCTTGGGATACTCCGTGGGTCAGGCAATATGAAGATTCAGGAAATTTGGCCTCAACTGCACCTCCAGAATTATTTCTGCAGAACAGTGTAAATACTTGGCTATTTGTAGATGCTGGTTTTGTTCCCTTCAAACAGAGCAAAATGCATTAATGTACCTTCTGTACAAGTTGCTAGAATCACTAGCATTGATGGTGAGGAATGCTAGTGTCTTAAAATAGCAAATAGACATGTGGAGATTTGTATAACTTAAAATTCTTTAGATCTAAGATAGTGGACAGAACCTCTGTATAGGAAATATGCATCACCTTCCATCGTTTGAGCTTTTTTTTTTCAGACTCTTGCTTCTAAGAATCTACTGTATAATATGAAAGACTATTTAGTTTTCCAGTAAGAGCTTTTTGCCTTGTGGCCATTTTTTTTCTATTTATTTTTACTATTGATGTATCCATTATTATGAGATGGAAAAGGCTTTTACTAACTTTCACTTAATTTTCCACCTGAATTTAGGCCACTGAGCATTAGAACCCTAGGGCACAGTTGTGCCCCTTCTAATCTGGTAGTTATTGTTTACTATGAATCTTTATGTGCATTAGAAGTATTAGAATCTTTTTGTGTAATTTGATGTAGTTTTGATAGCAGGCAGGAATAGCCTTTGCTTTGAAGCTCCAGCTGCATGGAATAGTCCTAATTCGTTTCTTCGTAGGCATGGTGGTTATAATAATAAGCAGAATAACTGTTGTAACTTTTAGTTGTGTATCTGTATTTTGTGTTTTAAGTCATGCTTCATATACACATTGAGAAATTCAGCTCTAAGTTCCTCTGTTTTGTTTCTCCATCTGTAAGTTAGAGAGAAGTGTACATTCATTTTGTGTAGAACTTTACATCTAATCAGTTTTACTATCAGAGAAGACAGATTATTCAGGATAGACTTTACAATGACAGTGTTTGGGAAAATACTGTAGAATTTATTTGATGGCACTTAAGATTATGGCACTTTATCATTGCTCACGTAGAAGATAGTTTACACTGGTGTTACAGTAGCTGTTACATAAATATATAATTGAGGATAGGTAAGATGCATTTACCTGATGGCTTATAGTAAAAATTTCTTAATTATGCTAATTTCTTACAGGAGGTGCTAAAACAGCTGCAAGGAAGTATTGAAGACGAAGCAATGGCATCTTCTGGGCAAATTGATTTGCTGGAACGACTTAAAGGTAAGTTTAGAATTATTTTCTTAGGTAGGTTAATTTGTTTGTTACCTACAGTTGTTTTGGGATAAAATTTTCCAGCCCAGTTGCATCTTTTTTCCGTTGATAACTTTGACAGTTACACATAGTCTTAGTGCCCGGTTGTTTTTTTGCTAAGTATTTTAAGACATTTTTTCTAAAAAGAATGTGTTTCTTTGTTGCTTTTGTGCTTTTGCTGCTCTCATTGTAGAGCTTCGTATGAAGCATTTACCTACTTATTTTAATTAAACTTATGTAATCTTACAATTGCATCTAATGTAACCTGCACTTTTTTTTAAAAAAAAAAAAAAAGAAAAGAAAAAAAGATGATTTACTTAGATGATTTAATTAGAAATTTAGGTGTCCTTGCTGGAGCAGGAAGGTTGGACTAGATGATCTCTAGAGGGGTCCCTTCCAACCTCAACCATTCTGTGATTCTGTGAATTATTTAAATTAATTAGTGGTATGTTAGTTCATGCATTTTTGAAACTTGTTTACGTGCCCACATTTTTCCTGTCACATTACTGGAACTGCATCTATGGGATGGGCAAAGCGAGGTCAGACCAGTGACTTTCTGCTGTACATCCTTCTCTCTGTCACAGCTTCAGAAATGCAGTACAGGATGTTGATATTCAGGCCCCTATGGTGGACCCTTGACATTTAGATGAAGGTGCAGGAGCTGCAAGATCCCTGAGAAAGACACTGTTAGGAAACGGGCCACAAGAACAATTCTTCTGATACTTATGCACTCTGCTTGATTTAAACTTCCCCTGTAAAGAAGCAAACAAACTGCTTGGGAGATAGCATTTTGGCTGGCAGGACAGTAGCTTGGGCATCTTTTTGTTCAGAGGGTCAGCACACTTCCACTCTACTGTCATGATTGGTTTTCTTCACGTTATACCCTTCTGTGGATCCCAAAGCAAAATGTTTTAACAGTTTCCATTTTTAAAATATCACAGATTTGTTCATGCAGTACAACATGAAGATCAGATGGTTCTTAAAGATTTGTGATGCTGAATTTGAGCACTGAAAACATTGTTCTTCATTATGCAGAACTGAACTTGGAAGGTGGTAACTTCCCCGGAGTGAAGTTAAGGCCAAAGGTGTCCGTGCGTTCATATGGGAGCCGGGAAGGGTCTGTGTCAAGCCGTTCAGGAGAGTGCAGTCCTGTTCCCATGGGATCATTTCCAAGAAGAGGTTTTATGAATGGAAGCAGAGAAAGCACTGGTTATTTAGAAGAGCTAGAAAAAGAGAGGTAAACTTCTCCATTTATACCTTCAATGTGCCTTGACAACTTTTCATTTTAGTATGCAAGTTTACTGAAACATTTAAGATTTCACACTTAATATTAGTTATCATGCATATGATTTTGATTAGTGTTATAGTCAGAACTATCATAACAGTTAAAGAAACTAGGAATCTACATTAATACACAAGCACACAATATAGTTTTTACTGCTTCTTTGTACATACATTTTATTGTTGCTGGTTGTTTATTAAAATTATTGGTAGAGAGTGCACAGAATTTTATAGTGAGAAACATGAAGCATCCCAAACACCTCTGTATCTCCTCACATTAATTGGTGCTGAAAGTTTAACATTGTTAAAATGCAGTCTTTTTGACTTCTTTAAATGCTAATATATATGACAGGTCATTAAAGAATTACATTATCTTAGTAGTCTTTTACCTGGTGATTCCCTTCTCGTAACAAAAATAATTACCAAACAATGATATTTACTCTCTTTTCAAGATGCTATCCCGATATGGTGTCAAGCCTATTAGCAAAATAGAGAAATTCTTTTCTTATACCATAGTTGTATCAATTTTATGTGAACATACATGTCATATGCCCTGGAAGTACCACATATAAAAGGAAATGCATTTGAGAAGGAGATGCAAAGGAAGAGGCAGGCAAGTTTTTCTTTGAGGGCCTTTCGATATTCTGAACTGAATTAGACTGAAATCCCAGGTGGTTTCATAGGCCTTTCTCTGAGAAAGGGTTTTTTAAAGATTTGATCACTGAAAGCTACTTAATGGATGAGATGTTAGGCTGGGGACCACAAAAATTACAACATGGTGCTTTTATGCAAATAGTTTTCCTTTCTAGTGCCTGTCGTTTGGTGAGATTGATGAAACAGGGCTTTCAGTGTTTGATATTTTATATGGAAAGCACTTGTTTCTTAGAGTAAGAATCTTTGTTCATCTTGCTATATTTTTTGATGTATTCTACTGCACATGATACTAAAATCTTGGGGCTTTTTCTTGTAGCTCACGAGGATTTGAGACCACTCAAAACAGCATATATTCCTGCATAGTAGCTAGAGTTTTTTAGGGTGTTTATTACATCTATATTATGACCTCTGATCACTTCCCACTGCTGGCGATTCTAGGGCGATCGTTTTTTGGAAATTTTTCTCAATGATAAAAACAGTTTAAGCAGTGAACTAACTCAGCATTCCTCTTGGCTGGTTCTGGGTGTATTTGGCAAGACATTATCTGAAAAACAAAACCTCTCAGAGTACTTTGAAGGTTACCTTATGTGTCAGTTTGCCTTTTGTGGCCTAGTGACTTTATTAATCTCGTTTGTCAGTTCTGTAATTTACCCCTTAGGCTGATGATCTTTAAGATGTGTTTAAATTATTTCTGTATGAAAATTGTTTTCCAGCTTTATTTCCTCTGATTTATTCCACTATATTTTAATGTTGGTTTTGAGCATTTTATCTAGTGACTTCTCCCTCCCTGCTCTTATTTCCTCTTCGCTGGTTGGGCTACTTGCTAGAAGTCTTTCTAGCATGCCAGCAGTGTTTGCTTTGCTCAGATGTTGTCAAGTTTGTTTTTATCCTAAGGAGGAGGATTTTACAGTTCCTGCGGTTTCACAAAAACACAAGCTTAACGAATTGCGTAGCTAGAAATTGCTGATTTGTTGTCTCAGTAGTTTTTGTTTGCAGATAATTTTGTTTCAATTTCCATGTGTTATATGTTATTTAATTGGGAGACATTTCTACCTTGCCTTTGGTGTTGATGAAAAACTATTTGAAATATCAGTTGTTTTCGGAGAGTAATCTTTTGAGAATTTGTACAGTTTTAAAGTTTTGTTGTTTTATGGCTTATAAATTAAAGTCCAAATACATCATGAAATTTAATCATGCTATATGTTGAATGGCATGAGCTGAGAATAAGATTGACATTATTTATCTTCAAAATATTTCTATGATAAGAATGATAAGAAACTGTTTCTCTCTGATGCTATGTTCATACCACTTACTGTTGGGAGCTTCAAAAAAAAAAGGACATTGGAGAAGTCTTTTGAAGCACAATCCTTTAGAGAAGCAATTTGATTTGGAAACATTTTTACTCATAGAAGCACTGTAAAGTTTCAAATATTTTCTTGATTTGCCCTGCTGCATTCTCACTGAACTTGAGATCATATGACTGGGAACAGAATATTCTCTGATACTGTGAAAGTGCAGATACAAGCAATATTGGCAAATAAAATGATGGAATTCCAACTGCATTTGATTTTCCCTTCAGATCTTTTTATTTGATCAGTAACAGCTTTTCCACCTTAAACTCACTCCAGACTCAAAAATTCCCAGATAGCTGTAGAAGGAGCTTTACTTCTGGGTGGTGTAATACCTGGTACAAGTGTTGGTGCAAGAAGCATTCGTTGGGTATATCTACAGAGACTCGCTGTGCTCAATTTCAAGGAAATTTAAGTAGAACCTGCTATGGTTGTACCAAGATCTTTCAGACTGGCGGTTGGGAGACCCAAAGTCATTGTGAAACCTTCTCCCAGAGCAGTAATATTCTGCATGTCTCAGAAGCAAAAATGACAACATTAATTGAAAAGAGTTCCTCTGGGCCATGCATTATGTTGTTTATGGTGCACTGATGGTTCTTAAGTTCTTTTCTTGCTTTGAGCATCCTTTCTGCCTGTCAAAACAGATTGAATGGCACAGTGTCTCACTCTCAAACTGAATACCCTACATTTTAAGATAAACTTAATCACTTATTCACTTACCCACTTTCTGAAAAGGACTTGTGTTGGTTTGCGGAAAATACTCCCTCCTCTTTTCACTACCAATTCTTTTGACACGTAGACACAAAATTAGTCAATCCTTTGACATTTGCAAGTCCTTATATAGTTTTGATCAGCAACAGATCAGAATAATCTGATTCATACAATTAGAAAACGCTTTTACAAATAAAAAGGCTTTTCATAAGGATCGAATTAATCATACTTCTGTAACTTATACTTCAGAAGTCAGACACACTCAGTGTGGTGACATGCATAGGGGGAAAAAATGGGAAGCCTTGCAGAATATCTGCATGTGCAGAGATCTGCATGTGAGGCTTGTTTTAGGGGATGGACATGTGGGAAGAGTAAAGGTGAAGAGTAAGAAGACTAAAACCCTTTCCCACAGGCTTTCCCCAAACAAAATGTGTTAGCATGTTTCCCAACCCAACCAAAGGGTCCCAAAAAGAGAACTAGAGTCCTTGGTGAAGAGATTCCTGCCCAGGCCACTCCTTGTCACTGAGGAATTACTGTGTATCCTGTAGTCTTGTTTAAGTTACCTGAAACAGAATATTTGTTGTTTATAACACATATTATCCAGGTCTGCATTTTGCTAATGTATTTAAAATGTCTTACACAGTTATAAATGTATCCTGACTATAACATTTGATGCAAGCTATTCTTAAAATATTGTTAATTATCATGCAGATTATTTGTTTGCCTTACTCTTTGCTTTGTCACGTATGACAGAGTTATTGAGAAGGCACTTTGGAGGCAACAAAGGTAGCTCAATTTAGTAATAGTTTTTACCACGATATCCAAGAATATCCAGTGTTCTTAAATACCAGTTGTAGTTTGCTGTAGTATGCAAAGCATATTACCACACAGAAGCAAGGTGCAACAGGACTAATACCTGTACATAGCTTTCACAAAATGCTCTTAGCTGCAGATTTCCAAGTGGTTTTATAATAAAGGATAGTTATTCTGTCTTTTACAGCTGTGGACATGATAAGCAAGAAGGTACACTGGCTTGCTTAACAGTGCAGCAGATAGTTTATCTAGGGCCAAAACAATTTTTTTTCTTACATGACCTTACATGACTTAAGTATTGGTATCAATATTTACTGATGTTCTTATATTGCTAATGAAGACTGAAGACAGACATTTCCTGCTTCTGTTTTTAATAGATCTCTTTTGCTTGCGGAGCTTGAGAAGGAAGAGAAAGAAAAGGACTGGTATTATGCTCAACTTCAGAACCTTACTAAAAGGATCGATAGTCTCCCCCTTACTGAAAACGTAAGCAACTTCAGTGGCTTATTTGTGTATCGGGTGCTGTGGTCTCTGAGTTGCCAAGTATGCTTTACAACTTTGCGGACATTCTCTACAATTGTTTTGGATTAAAGCACTTCAGTTCTGTATGCAAAGTTAACTCAGTCAAAGTAATGCATTTTTCTTTCCAGCTCTCTGCTTTTCAGATGTTATTTTACAAGTTCTAAATTTGTACACATTACGGTATGAATGTCAGTACTAGACAGGAGCACTTGAAAAGTTGTTATGACAAGTGCATTACATGTCAGTAGGTTTCTTCTTTACCTGTGTCCCCCAAAGGCCTTTTTTCAATCAACTCCATTATGCAAGTTTGTGAACAATATTAGCCTAAAAGACTGCTTACACGGAAGCTCTCAGTTCAAAAAGCAGGCAATAAAGTAGCGCTCTAGTCATAGCCAAGTTAATCGGCAAACCAAAGGAAGGAGGAAAGAGGAGGAGACCGAAATGGATCTTGAGGAAATGCAATCTGTTCCCAAAGGAAGTGAGTGTATCTGTCTCTCTTAAATGTACCATAGCTTTTAAGATGAAGTCTCACCAGCTTAATAGGTAATCAGTTAACTTAGCTCTTATTATTGGCATGTTCTGCTTAACGTATATGCCAAATCTCTTTTGTGGCCATTTCTGTCCCTTACTAGAGAAAAAGACTGTTGTGTCTCTTGTCTCTCTGACTTAAAATCATAGAAATCCAGCCCTAACTGAACTTTCTGAGAATAACTAAGGTTTTCTAACCTCATCCTAATTTGCCTATAGATTTAAATTTCTGTGCCTCAGTTCAACTCATGCTTTTGTCTTATGCTTCAAAATGCACAGCTGCCTTATTCCTGTGCATCTGTCATGAAACACTGTTGGCTCTAGGACTGGATGCCTTGCCTTACCGTTCCTTGCATATATCTATAGTTCAGGACTTCCTTCTGGCCCTCTCTTAAGTTCCTTACAGAAAATAGGAAGGACTTATGAATTCTGTGTTTGTAAGGTGTCCACATATTTCTGGTGATACAAATGACCGATTTCATCGCCATTGGTATCTTTTTTCCATACCTGGTAAAGTTCTAGAACAAACAAGAAAACGTAATTTCTGTTTTCTGTCAGTGACCATCAATAATGAGGCCATTTGGCATAACTTTGTTTAGATCAGAAGTTCTACAGTGTTCCTGTATACACAATAATATTTTCAACATGGCAGTGCAAGATAGCAATTGGTGCTTTCTAAAACTTATTTCTGAAAGATGTATAATCTCAGCATTCTTACTGTACTTTTGTGTAATTATTCTTTATAGTGAAGAATGTCCTCTATTTTTTATTTTCACACATTGGTTTTTGTTTGTTTTCTCTTTAGTTGCTAATACCTTTTTGCTGGAGAGCAGACTAGAGATAAATCTTTGTAAATTTAAGTACAGCTGCAGTGTTTGCTTGTCACCTTCCATTTTCTTCCAGAAAGGCAGTTCTCACAGATCTTTAAACAATGCAGCTTCTGATTTTATTCATTTTAGTTTACTTACCAGTCACATGTAGCTACATATTTGAAACTACTGACTTGATTAAAAATTGAACAGATAAATCATATCTAGAAAGAATAGTTCATCTAGTAAAAAACAGTTACTAGGGAAGGTAACCATGTATACCAGAAGAACTAGAGCTCTTTTTGAGCAAACATGTTTACTGGACCTGGTTCGGTTTTCCACGTGATTGAATAAATTGTGTACGTATGAATAGTAATTAAACTTTCAGCTTAAAAAAAATTCAGAAAGCCTAGGAGGGATCTGATAGACTTCCAGTACTGAAAATAAGCTGTAGAGAAGATGAAGGTACTCTGCTCACATGATACAGGACAAGAGGGAACCAGTTGTCTCAGGGAGAATTCTGTCCCAGTGTAAGAAAAAGATGTCTTCACCTTGAGAACAATTTTAACATTGGAGCAGGTTATCTACAGAAGTGGTAGAGTCTTTCATGCTAGAAATATCAAACCTAGCTTGAAAAGCCTGTGGATAAAGCCCAACTTTAGACAGGAAACAGAAGGAGGAACCAGGTGATGTCCAGGAGTCAGTGCCAACCTAGACATTCCTCTGCTTCTGTGATCTTTTAAAACAGCCCTTGAGGTAGTTCTGCTTACTCAACTTTCTTACTAATTTTCATATTAATTAATTGCAAAGACCTGTATATTTAAATCTAAGTTAATAGACTTAGTTTCAAGGCCGGCTGCCTTGAAAAGTATATTGGTGGGAGTTCTTGTTCTTGAACAGTCATGCTTCTTTTTCAGATAGGATCAACAGCAAAAGCAGTGCAGTAGTTAGGCACTTACGAATGATGACACCTGTAGATTTGGGTAGAAAATAAAACATTTCTGTTGGTATGCTGACATACATTAGCATCCATGTGGTCCATGCTTGTAATTATACTGTGTCCATGTGTTTATATGTTGTGTTTAGTCATTTGACAAGGCTTGCAGGTAGCCTTTGGGTTGAACAGCATTGTGTTTTTATTTTTAAGAATGTTTTTAAGAATGTTTTAAAGGTCTGTTATTCATGATTTTTTCACTTAAGAAGTTTCATGTAGAAAGATGATTGTTCTGCTTCTATTCAGAGAAATACAAATTTCATTTGCTAAAATGAAATGTTCACACAAATTTCATTTGCTAAAATGCTTTCTCTGCGCTTCAATTTCAGTTCTCCTTGCAAACAGATATGACCAGAAGGCAGTTAGAGTATGAGGCAAGACAGATCAGAGCTGCAATGGAAGAGCAGCTAGGTACTTGTCAGGACATGGAGAAGCGAGCACAGGTACACCTTTTTCTTTCATTATTAAAAGGAATGTAAAATGTTTTCCAGTGATGTCAATTAATTATTCATATATATTTAAACTCTGTGGAAACACAGTAATTCGTTAGAGCAATTTTATTAATTAGAGCAATTAGAAAAATGTATTCATAACATAGAAAAACACTACTCGGGCAAAAAGCACCTTTCTTTAACTGTTTAAAAGAAGAATTTTGAGTAGTGGGAGAGGTAAGATATACTGGCAAAATATCCTTTACATCCATTCCGGTAAACTGTTTGGTTCGTTTGCTGTATCCAAGGGTTGCTTTGCATTCATGATGAGCATGTGTATAGTTTTGCATGCAAATCATGTCACATACATTTGGAAGTGTAACTCAGAATGTAATTGGGTGGAACTCAGTAAATTAAATTATCAATTGCAGGCTAGTTAAAACTGTTACCTCACAGAAGCAGTGACAATTTGAATTACTTGTTACCAGCTATTTCCATGGATGTTAAGTAAGCAGCTTAGTAAAATAACCTACTTTTTCCTGGAGTGTAACAAAAATAAGCCATTTGAATATAGATTGTCTTTTTAGGCTTTCTTTTCTTCAGTGAATTTAGCTCAATGAAAAATTTTGATACTTAGATAATATTTCTACTTAATTCTGTTTGGGGTAAAATGGAAAGCAGCTTTAAAGCAGAATAACTTGTATATTTTTGAGGTAATTCTGAAAATAATGATTAGTCTATGTTTATATTTTTTGGCAAAACGCTTATCCTCTGTTTGTAGCAGTCGCCCTACCAGGTGTGTGCCGAAAGGGCCTGTGGGTCTGTGTTACAGGAGCGCTGAGACCCAGGTTGGCTGTTGCTGTTCTTAATCTGCGTGGCCGGGCGCTGTCTTGGTGCTGCACGGTCCGTGGTGGCCCCATGAGCCCCATCAGCGGCCCTTCCCAGCACGGCCCCTCGGGCTCAGCGGAGCTGGGACCACCGGCACACGCCTGGTCCAGCCCCGTGTAAAACGCAGTTGTTTTGAGCTTCTGCGCCACAACTTCTGAAGAAGTTCTTTAACCAGCTTCCAGTGGGAGCAGGAGTTAGCCAAGCGAGTACGTTGCACGGCTGGCCAAACTTTTAACTGCGTTCAAGCAGGAGGATAAGCAGGAAATCTTCCTAAAAGGCTATTTGACTGTAGTTCTGCGGCTGGGAAGGTGTCGATAAAGTAGCTACTTACCTACATTCTTTTTCAGAAAATGTTGGTTTGAAAAAGGAGGCAAACATAGGCGTACATTAACTCAGAGAACTATGATCTTCCATCCTCTTGTTGGTTAGCACAGCCTGTGGTATTCCCAATACATATTTATAGTGAAGGTATAATCCTAATAAATACTGTAATTTCCATGAAATTATAAAACAGGAAGAGGAAATAACTATATCCTCACGTACTCTTCTCTTGAATTTGGATGGTAGTTACCCTGGTTTCATTATGTCAGGGATAGGTGCCAGAACTTACTTACTTACATACAGACATACATGCATATACAGCTTAAACAATATGTAAATATGTAGGGGAAAATTCTAGCGTATTCCTCTGTGGTGTTCAAGTGTATAATCAGAACTATTCATATCTGGCAAGTACGGTCAACTTAGTTGTTTTTTAGTTTTCCTTTTGTTCTGTGTTTTCATTCTTCCATGGCTGTTTGTGATATGGAACACAATGTAAAATGTAATTTGAAGGACTTCATTGTAGACAACTCTGCATTGTAGATATATAATATCTGTAATAATTATTCTGTAAGGGTAGGTAACCTATTATTGCCTGCCTGCTGTAAACAGCATGTTCTTCTTCCTGTTTGTACAGCCTTTAGTTCAAAATACCCTTCTGGCAGATTGAACCGCTTAGGTTCTCTGCGATATAAATAATAAATAAGTGGAAAGAAGGAATAGTCTGATTTTTATATCCAACCTAAAATTTAATGTATGTTGATTGAATTCTTGACACCATGGAGTACTTCATTGTTGATATTGGACAAATTATGTTATTTTTACATTTCTTCTACAAAAGAAAAAAATCTCTGCTTTTAGATACACATAATGCATACAAATACTTTATTACTCTTGTCCCTTTAAGGAAGTAAATTGTTGGTTACATAGAAAGACATTTAGGTAAACAATTAAAACATGCTTAATCACAAAGAAGACGTATTCTTCAGTCACTTGTCACCTCATCAATTTACGGTTTACCCAGGAATATATTTATATATTTTTATATATATATTTATATGTTTATCTCCCTTTAAATCTAAAGAATTTCCTGATCCAGGAGAGAAAGAAGGTGGATTATTTGTCTGCCTCATGCTGCGGTGAGGCCATTGTTTGTGCTGTTAAAATATTGCTGACCTTTTTTCCTGATATTTTACTTTTATAAATTCAAATCTAGTTTATTGGTTACTATTTTTAATTTTGTGTATTCTAAATTTGCATCCACTAAATGTTAATGATTAAGATATTTTTTCTGCCTATGTCAAGAATTACTTCTACTTGATGATCATATTTTCTTTCCTCTTTCTAAAACTTCTAGATTCTATTGTGCTTCTGTTCCAAGTGTATGCATTGTTATTTATAGCTTTTTTTAAGTTTGGTTATTTCCACTTTTAGTTTACAAAGATGTTAAATAAGGATAATCGTAATGTTAATTAATGCAATGCCCACTAGATTACACAAAGCCTTTTCTTTTTAGCATAGTACTGTAATCATCATTCAGGTAAAATGATAAGATCTCTTTTTATTGGTTTTATTTGGTTTGGTTTTAATTATGCATCCCTCTTAAACCTGCTTGTTATACAAGAAAATTTGTATTTAACAGTTTAGTGTTCAGTTTGTATACTGCTATATTAAGGGACTGACCAGTTTTAAAGTCAAATGATGTCTGTTTATCCCCAAGATGATATAGGAGTGTATCATTGTGTTCATTTTTTTCACAAGTAAAATATGCCCTTTGCAAACTAAAACTTGCATGGAGTATATATATCCTGTAAAAAATGGTGGGATTTGGGGTTTGTTTGTGTGTTTGTTTTTCTTCTGCATTGCATTTACTAACCACAGAATGATTGCAGTGGGAAGTGAGTGGCAATACAGTTATAAGAGACTCAGATTAATTGAGAGATACCTATAAAGTCCTAGAAAAGCCACTAAAAGAATATACAGTTTTCTTTTTACTAACCCTCTGCATTCTTAGAGATTTTTAAGAACCGAAAAATTCAGAGACTGTCCTTAGGCAGATCTATCAAAGCATCATAATAACTGAAAATAATGAAAGTCAGCCAGCATTCTGCACTGCCAAAGCACTTTGCAGATACAAATTTCTCTCAAATCTGTGTAAGGCAAGCGGAATTTTGACACTGAGGTGAGAGTGAAATAATTCATCAAAAAAATGAATGGGACATTGATTTCAGAGATTAAAAAAGTGTGTGAGTTTACTGAAGCATTTTTCTGTGCCTGAACTTGTCCTGTGGATCAGTCTAATCCTGTATCCAGATTAGTGTCAGTTATATTAAAAACCCAACTACCTATTCTGTTTCGAAGATGTTTACCATTGTGACTGTGTTTTATTCCTATTTCTGCAATTACCACAAGAATGAAGAAGTTCTTTTTGTAGCCAGCTGTATTTGCAATCAACATTTCATATTGTCTCTATGTTCTGTAGTGGCTATAAGGAGTTTTTAAATAAAAATGAAACATGAAAATGTATTAATTTCAGGTGAGAGTGGCAAGGATTCAGCAGATAGAGAAGGACATTGTTCGTATACGGCAGCTCCTGCAGTCACAAGCAGCTGAAGCAGAGGTTAGTGAACGTTTACCTGCCTTCTTTGGGTAGGGCATGTATCTTATTTAAAATATCTCCTAAATGAGTAAACTTATGGACAATCTAATGTGCATCAGCAAGTGATGACACTGTTTCTGATCTAGTCAGTGTATGTAATCATGGTGATTGGCATGGCATGGCATGTAACTGGCTTGCATAAAATTTGGCAGTATGCTGCTTTGTTACCAGAGTTCTCTGTGCTATTGTTATGTTTTTATCAATATTGATATATTAGTAATTGCAATAAAAAGGCTAAAGTACAATATATCATAGACAAAGTCTTGCTTTTAGAAAATTATATAAATTAGTAGGACTTTTCTTTCTAAATATGACTCTCTGATAAGCAGCTTCATGATTTGCTTATCTTTTGAGAGAAGTTAATGAAAAATAGTGAGTACAGTTTCTGTCCAGTTTCATTATAGAAGGCTTGCATGTTTTTAGTGTTTAAGCACTGGGTCCTATATTAAGTAATAATAATATTCCCTGTAAGTACAGTTCCTAGAAGTGACTGCCATTAGCAAACACTACATTCACAGTGCGAATTAACCTGCAGACAGTGCTTATGCCTTAACGGTACATTGTATGTTGAACCTGAATGTTTTTACAGTTTGTCTTCATTCAGACTGACTACTGTGAAAGTTCAGAGCAAGTTTAAATTACTAAGAGGATATAGGTTTTTCCATTGTCAAAAAGAAAATGATTTCATAACTCCAGAATGGTGTATTCATATGTGGAAGGGATGGTATACAAGGGTATACCAGGTATACAAGGGAAACTGACAATTATAGTGACTCTGATTAAAGTTGTCAAGCGTTTTGACACTTTAGCTAATTCAGTTGTGATTTTGTTTGATTTGTGATGTAGATTTCAGCTTTGAAAAGTCACTAAACATTTTAGAGAGTGCAATTATCAGAAGAATTGATAGCATTTTCTCTCTGACCTTTTACGAGCTTCCTTCAGTTTAATTCCTAAATTTTTCATTTAGTTCTGACAGCACATTGTGCTAAAAGAGGGATTAGATTTTAGAAGGGGGTGACTTCTGCTTTCATGGTAATAAATTTCCACATTTGCCTGGTGTAAGTCTTCTAGAACTGATGAGCAGACTTGCACAGCTGCGTTAGGCTTTTAAGCAACTGAATTAAATGACGATAGCGCTGGGCTTTGAGTCTCCTAATCAGACTTTTATGTTTTGCAAGCAGATATTGTCACAGAGGAATATAGCAACCACATGGAAGGTATAATTTGGCAGACATAAGGAAGAACCAATTAGAAGTTTTAATCTCTAGTTTTGTTATGAAGTTAAGCTTAGGAACACTTAATTTTGAGCGAAATTATGTATCTTCCCTTCCTTTCACAAGTTACCATAATAGGACAGATGGCATAGGTCACTTTTTAGGGCTTGTTTTCAAGCCAGCAGGCTCCTGTATTAACCATACACCTTCTTAAATTAATATACTCGATTGTGAAATCTGTAGTCTGGAGGCAACTTTGTTCTACAGCCAGAAAAAGAAATTGGGATTCTAAGTCTCCAGCATTCATTAGCTATCCAATGTAGGCTTTGTCAGCACTTTACAAAAAGATTTCACATTCTCCTTACGGAGCTGTTTGCTCACATAATGTGTCATCTCACATAACAGGCTCTTGCAGTTGTCGGACGTTTTTCTAAGGCCACTATCTGTGAATAGAGCTGTGGACCTGGAGGTATTTGGTGTAGACCTCCCCGGTGAGCATTGTGGGAGCGTTGGTCAGGTTCCCTGTGAGGGTATTTCTGTTTTACTCGGACGGTATGCAACGTGTTAGTTTTTATATATAACAAAAACACATTAGGAATAATAAAATTGTGTAGTACTGAAAAGCCAAAAGTATGAAAGTGTGGGTTCTTTTTGGTCGATATGATACACTTGTTAATTACGCTTAGTTTGTAGGACTTGGCTAACTTCAGGGCACAGAACTGAGGGTGAGCAAGACAGTGATTTTCATATAGTTTTATGAGAGGTTTCTTTGCCTGATAATTTTTTTCTAAAAATTGGTGCTATTCTTATCCTGTGAGGGGGTGCCATTCCTTTTTATTTCAGGATTGGAATACATTTCATTTTTGCTTCTTGCATTCTCTCAGCATCAAATTTGATACCATTTTTCAGTAGAAGAAGAATCATAGAATCACAGAATGCTGAAGGTTGGAAGGGGCCTCAGAGGTCATCTAGTCCAACCCCCCTGCTCACGCAGGGTCACCCAGAGCACGCGGCACAGGGCTGCATCCAAGCGGGTTTTAAAGATCTCCAAAGAAGGAGACTCCACAACCTCTCTGGGCAGCCTGTGCCAGTGCTTTGTTACCCTCACAGTGAAGAAATGCTTCCTTAAGTTCCTGTGGAACTTCCGATGCTTCAGTTTGAAGCCATTTCCTCTAGTCCTATCGCTGGCCAACACTGAAAAGAGGCTGCCCCCCTCCTCCTCACTGCCTCCCTTGAGGTATTTATACACGCTGATCAGGTCCCCCCTCAGCCTCCTCTTCTCCAGGCTGAACAGGCCCAGCTCCCTCACCCTTTGTTCACAGGGCAGATGTTCCAGGCCTCTGATCATCCTCGTAGCCCTGCGCTGGACTCTCTCCAGCAGCTCCACAACCCTCTTGTACTGGGGAGCCCAGAACTGGACGCAGTACTCCAGATGTGGCCTCACCAGGGCTGAGTAGAGGGGGACGATCACCTCCCTCGACCTGCTGGAGACGCTTTTCTTAATGCACCCCAGGATCCCGTTGGCCTTCTTGGCCACCAGGGCACACTGCTGCCTCATGGTCAACTTGTCGTCCACCATGACACCCAGGTCCCTCTCTGTGGGGCTGCTCTCCAGCAGGTCCACCCCTAATCTGTACTGGTGTCCAGGGTTACTCCTCCCCAAGTGCAGGACCCTGCACTTGCCCCTGTTGAACCTCATGAGGTTTCTCGCCGCCCAGTCCTCCAGTCTGTCCAGGTCCCTCTGGATGGCAGCACAGCCCTCAGGGCTATCAGCTACTCCTCCCAGTTTGGTATCGTCGGCAAACTTGCTGAGGGAGCACTCCAGCCCTTCATCCAGGTCGTTAATGAATAAGTTGAACAGGACCGGACCGAGAACTGACCCCTGGGGGACACCACTAAGTACAGGCCTCCAGCTGGACTCCGCACCATTGACAACCACTCTCTGCACCCTGCCATCGAGCCAATTCCTAATCCACCTCCCCGTCCACACATCTATCCCACACCTTTGGAGCTTGCCCAGGAGGATGCTGTGAGGGACAGTGTCAAAAGCCTTAATGTGAGAGGGCAGCGGAGAGTTTACCATATTAATGTTTTCTCTGCATAAGCTGTCTCCATATATGCTAGTTACCATACAGATGTAATTAGTATTGTTTTTAAAAGAATTTGAGAGTACTTTCAAAAAAATGCATTATGAAAGCTATCAAGCTGCCAGCCTGTGGTGTGGATGCAGCCCCACAAATAACATGGAATAGTGCTGGAATGGGAAGAGTGAATTGATCAGTGGATGGGGAAGCACAAAGTCCTAGGTAGAGGTCAAGTTGTGGGCAGAGAAGTAATACAGGATGTCATACTTATCATTTAAGGAGAAGAATTTTACTGGTGTTCAGAATTAAATGTAAATGTGCAATATTGAACAAGAGGTATGAACTTAATCTGAACAACCTTAAATAATTGAGTGCTTTGTCGCTGCTTTCTCTTCTGTACCTACATTGCCTGGTGCCAAGAAAAAAGGTAGTAGAAGCCAAATTTCACAGTCTGTATAACTGAAAAATATAAACCTGAGGCATTTACCATATTCTTCTACTGGACCTGATAGAGCTTCCCAACTTGAATGTTCTCTTTATGGCTATAAGGAATTAATAAGAGTAGTAATAAGTTCTATAGCTTATCTGCTGCTTTCCTTTTTCCCCTGTGGTGATGTCAGGCACTGTATAATCTAAATGCAGTGTATGCTGTAGTACGTAAGCAAATAATAGAGTACGCTAGAGAATAAATAGGTGAGATAAAGCAGCAGGAAAAAAAAAAAGTCCATCTTAAGCACAATGTAATCTACTTTCAAGTTAGACCTTCAAAAATGAAATATTGGCTGCAAGATACAAACCTGAAATTGTATTTAAAAGGAAGGGGGAGGGGGGGAAGGCAATTTCTTTGCAAGTATATCCCATGGGGTTTTTAATTTGTTACATGACACAAACCCTTCTGTCGTAATATCTGGAGATATGTGAAGTGTTTCCATTAAACAATGGTCCTGTGGAAAGAAAGGTAGACGTTTATTTTGTGCAGAGAATATGCTCAGCAAGCTCTAAAATACTGTGATAATGCACTGTGGTGGTTAGGAGTGCCATTAAGTATTTAACTACTAGATTTTTTTTTCCTTTATGATTAAATTACATTAAAATAGTTTCAATCTTAAAATTTCTTGGCTTTGTCAGTTACATTCTTTCTGTTTTTTACCATCTTACATATACTCTTACATACATAGATTTTGCATCTACTATGTGGTTATGGTAAAATAGTATTTTTGGTGTATTTAGAAAATAATGTAGCTGTATTTTTAATGCACAAATTAATGCAATAGGTGTGTATTTTGATGTAGATGTGTCTTATGCCTAGAAAAGCCATTATTACATAACTACACAAGGAACTACTTTTACAATTCATTTTTTCAAAGCATCTGGTAAAATTATGTGTAATACGTAATCTTAGCAACAGGGATCAAGGCCTTGTAAACTTCACAGATTACCCAAATACTTACTTTTTCTCTAATTATTAGCGAAAAAAGATATTAATTGACAAGTGATAACTGCTGTTCCCTTTAGAAACATGCAGAGTATAGATGGAGGAATCCAACAAGACGGAGGTTGCCTTTCAGTCTTCCTGTTTTAGGAACTTGCAGTTTTTCACCATTTTGCTGCAGAAGTGAGCATGCATACACAGTAACTTAAGAACTTGAAGCTATTTTCCTAGTTTTGCTTCTGGAATTGGGAAATGACAGAGGCCAGCAAGCCTAGCTAATGGCCCCTGAGAATGAGCACTCCTGCTGTTTAAATGAGCAACTGCAAAGGGAGTTTCTTCAGAAAGCAGAGAGGGATTGAAATTTTATTAAGATTTGCTTCATTTCAGTTTTACCAAGGCCTTCACAGGTAAATCATGACAAACACTTTTCCTACCTGCATCACCCTGGTGTCTTCAAGTGGCAGATTGCGGGGGGGAAGGGAGGTCGGGGGCGGCTGGTACAAGACCCTTCTTAGAATTTTAGATGAAAAGATATACTAGAAGTATGAACTACATAATGGCTTAGAGACTGTAGGTCCCAGTGCAGGCTTTTCAAAAAATAATGTTAGTATTTCTTACCAGTTTGACAGTCATCCCATGTTACCCAAATGAGATTTTATTATTCATCCATTTCATGGCCACTGTAATGAAAACTTCAGTAAATTTATGAGAAACTGTCTGCTGAAATAGCAGGATTCATGGGGTTGCACAATTCTTCAGGAGTCACGTCCCGAAGCAGGTGGTGCTGTACAGCACCACGGGCCTGTGCACCAGTCTCTAGCGGCGCTAATGCCACGTGTAGTGATAATGGCATTTACTGTCACTTACGTGCTCTGCATCTATAGCTGATGTGGTTGGTATGTCAAACATTTTCATCTGGAGGTCCCAACTTAAGTGGATGGTGAAAAGAAGGGTCAGGGGAACCTCTGTTTTGGTTATACTGCCTTTATAACCACCAATACGGTTAGTCTGTCGGGGTGAATACTGATTTTTTTTACAATGAAAATGTATTCACAACAAAAAGAAATATACATGTATGTATTAAAATATATGTATGTAATTTTAATCGTGTGGGTATTTAAAAAATATATATATTTTTTCCTCATGTGTGCATGTGAAAACTGATCAGAAGTGCCAGTTACCTCCCGCAGCGGGTGCTGCGGTGCAGTCCTGTGGGGCAGTGTGCGCACTTGGAGCGCCGGCCGCTCTCCCTCCATGGCTCCAGGGGCTGAACCGCAGAGGTGTGTGCTCTGCACTGGACGGGCTCCCCGCAAAGCCCTGCGGGGGCTCAGCGGCCCCAGGGCCCGTGTGTTGGGTACCTGATGGGAGCCCGCGCGAGCGCTTAGGGGCAGTGAGCCCTGGCAGCTGCTGGGAATGGCTGCGTGGTTATAAATGAATCTGAGTATCGTGTCGACAGGTATTGTGCACTGGTGTGTTTGGGGAAGGGATTGTGATGGGGAAGCCGCTGCTTTTGTAAATAGCACGTAGTAAACACAAAACTGGTGCGAACGGGAAGGGGGGAGTTTGCCTAAGGATCTAAAGGAATTAACTCCTCATTTCTGTGCTCCCTTTTTGATATGAGTGGTGGTGACAGCAGTTCAGTTTTTGTGTGGTTGTATGGAAAACTGAATCTCCTTCAGGTTGCTGCATCTTTTTACTTGGTTTTGATAATATGATTAGGTCTGACGATTGTTTATATTTTATTTATAGTAAATTGGTTACCCCTGCACTGTTTGCCATTAGAATTTACACTGTGTGCGCATCCTTCTGTTCACCCATAAAGTGTTTGCGTTTGAATGTGGAGCTTAATCTACCCGTGCTCGCCTCCGTCTCCAGTAAATGCACAGATCATGTGACACTGCAGAGAAGACAGTTGTTTGCTCCAGTTCTGTTACATTTCTGATAGCGATGTGAGCACAGCTGGTGGAGAAGGGTGTTGCTGTGTCTCCCTGCAAATCCTTTGTCTTGCAGGGCTATAATCCTCCAAGGACATGCCTCACTTTCATCTTGCAGTCTTGCTAAGGCAGTCAGCCTCTGCTGTTAATTATTGGGACTAGGGTTATGAGATACAAAGCAATGTTCAATGGCTTTGTGAAGATACAGCCTTGATGCATTTAGGTTTGGAGAGCTTTGAATGCTAACATGCACTTTATTTCTGCATTTGATTCCATAAACTCTTGCATTAACAGAGGGCACCTCAAAGCAAGCATGATACAGGCTCACATGATACAGAGAGGCAGAATGAAGGTCAAGGAGCAGCAGAAATCAGCATGGCAACTACTGGTACTGGTCAGGTAAATCAATTATTTTGTTTATTGAAATATGTAGTTAAATGCCATTACATGTGTGTAATGCACAGTGCTTACATTTTAGCATATGTGTTTGTATACCTGTTCATTTTTAAAGGATTGACATTTTTCATCGTTCCTTTTGGAAGTGAGAAATTTCTTATATTTAGAAAAAGTGTTTTAATTGCATGAAGTGTAAACATTCTATAATGTAGGCAGAGGTTTTCTTTTGTTTAAATGAGTAAGGAGCCTAATATTAGCAAGGAGATAACAAGAATGACTGCATATATATATATGTATGTATGTGTATATATATACACATGTATGTATGTGTATATATATGTATTATTGTAAGTGTAAGAATAGTAGGGAATAGTTTTGTAAGGAATATGATTTATTATGGGAAAAAATTCAGAATTTCACTTTGATATTTAAGATAATATCTAGTGATTTAAAAAAGAAAAGAAATAGTAATTTTTTAAATTAATATTTCTGTTTTACTCTATTTGCTAATACTGGAAATAGTATCAAGGAGGTGGAAGTGTGCAGATGAGTAATAAAACATTATTAAATAATCTTTCATTTGTTTTTCCCTTATTAGTGAAATATATTAGCAGCAGAGTACTCATAGGGCTGTATTTAATTCTTCTTTACTTATTTCTTAGAACTGGTATTTATCCAAGTTTGAGGCTTTGTTTTTTGACTAAAAATACTTTGATTTATTTACCACAGTTTGAGATACATTTGTAATTTGAGTTCTTAAAACTTCATGCTATATTTTGATAGCTGAATTTCTATGTAAAATACTTCAGTTACTTTAGGGAAGCAGAATTATTTAAATTTTTCTGAAAATATTTCTTATGGGAGTGTTTTTCATAAAGGATAGACATTGTGATTTGGTTTGAATATTTCATTTAATTAAGCACAAAGTACAGCCTAATTTTTATTTTGAAATATATTTGATCACCATTTGCAATTAAGTTTCTTCTGTTATGTCTGAGCAATTGATTGAGGCTCTGACTGTAATACTTACGACAGCTTTATTGTTTGGGGAAAAAAATAATTGAGCGCTGCTTTGGCATTGAAAGCATAATGTATTTAAATAATTAATGTATTGTGGCTGTATTCTCTGTCTTTAGTGTATGAATCGGGAGGTTTTTGGACAACAGATATCTTACATGGAAGAAGGAATTGCTTTATGCAACTGGAGGATTCATTCATTCATTCCAAATTTTAAGTTTAGGATTTTTAAGCAGTTTTGAACTTTGTGTCAAAAAATTGCATAAATATTTGTATTCTTTTCTCCTGGTGGTCGATAGCTCCAGAGCTCTGAATCTGCGTTCTAGGAGACATCTGGGGATTATTCGCTTTCATTGCAAGTCTAGAGAGAGTAGGCTTAATGGATTGGGCATAGCATTTATGTCTGATAAACCAGATCGGTATATTTTCTTTTTTTTTGTGCAATCAGTGTTAAGTGGAGTGTAGAAAGTTTTAACTGAATAATCTAAAGCTAATTGGTTTTGAAATAACATAAACAACATTAATTGAAAATTTGACAATTTGAAGACTTGAATGTTCAGTTCAGTTGAATGTTCAGAATCATGTTCTTTCCTGGATCATCTTAACAGTGAAGGACAAAAAAGTATAAAAGAATAAAAATGAAGTAAGATAGAAGAAGGGTTGGAAAGATGAGGGTCTGCATAAGAAGGGTCTGTTTTGCATCTCTTTGTTGCTTTTCCGTTTCCTCAGATGAATGGTTACACAGCTCTCATAACTCTTCATTTAAAAAGAATTGAAAAAAACCTGATTCACTCAACTGTAATTTGCTTTTGATATGGACAATTCAAATTAGAAGGTGTTTTTTTCCTCTTAGTGAAAAAAAAACCAATGCCAGCTCTGCTTTAATCAGTGAAAATAGCAATTAGAAAAGACTCACATTGAAAAATATAACTCTTCTCACATTGAATTTAAGGAAAATGAATAATAAAGCCAGTTGTTTTTATCGTAACATCTAAACTGTTGGGGGTAGTGGGGATTACCCGTCTTAACCAAAATACATGCTGTTGGTTCATTATTATAAATAGGATTCTGTTTCACAGTGCTGGAATTGACTCAGGCAGTGGTTGGTGTTCTGGTGAGACTCTGTCTTACACCAAATTGTTGTTTGAATCCGTAGGGTTCCGCTGCTCGAATGGACCATGAGGCAGCCACTGTTATGAGTTCTAGTAACAGCTACTCTGTTCCTCGTAGACTGACAAGTCACCTGGGGACCAAGGTAACCGAAGATTACAAACCACAGGTCGCTAATGTTACGTTTCTACTAATACAATAACCTCATTGTTTTTGCCAGTAATACTAATATTAGCTGAATGCTCTATTTATGGAATAAAAATTCAACATATTTCTTCAATTATTAAAATACATGCACAGAAATTTGATTTGTCTTTCAGTTGCTGATGATTAGAAGTATTACAATAAAAAAAATGTTTGCAAGAATTGCACATTATTTCTGGTATATAATCCCATATTAAAACTGTTTCTTTTAAGAGTAATCCTTGGAATTTTTTCCAAAATCTGAATCCTCAAAACATGCTTTTGTTGAACAAAACATGTTTTGTTTTGTAAGGAAAAAAAAAAGAGTAAATTCTTTATGGTGATAAATATCTGTTCATTTCCTTCATAGTAATTGAGATAATACAACATTGGCTAATGGAGAAAAAATACAAATTAGTTACCGTAATCAAAAAAAAAATTGCATGTTCTTGAAAAAAAGAAAAATTAAAGGACATTGAGGAGAACATCTAGTATATCTCTGCTCCTCTGTAAAGCATCACTTCTATCAAAAGTAATCTTGACAGCACATGACAACAGTATAATCTTTTTTGCAAAAACTAATGATAAGTAATCTTTGCCATTTTTTAATAAACTTTAATACTTTTTTTCATTAATAGCTATCCAGAATCATCTTAGGTGCACTTTCCCTGTTTCCAGTGGAAATCAAATACATTTATCTTCTGAAGCAACCTTTTACATACTTAAAATTTATTTCAAAATTATGGAAAAATTAGAGATGAATACACAATAGGGAGTGTGCTAAAAATATATAAGTAGCACAAAAAGAGAGGGGGAAAAAAAGTGTACATCTGTATTACAACTGAGTTCCTGAATCACTGAGTGATACTTTCTCTGGCATCAGCAGCCAGACATATTGTAGGGCTGAGTCCAATCTCCTGGGAAGGAAGGCTTATTAGCTTGACATAGTATTAAATTACATCTGGCCTTAAAGCAGTGATACTTCCCTGCACCCAGTGCCTGCACCAAATGGAGGTAACACTGGCTGGAGTGTCTGTTCGCAGTCTTCCATTACAAAACGTAGAACTCCTAAAAGTGCAGCAAGGGGAGAGTCCTGAATGCAGGGAAACGAACTGTGTGGGGAAGGAGGTAAGCAAATAAACAGGTTTAACTAAGGGTGGTGCGGGGCAAGAAAATAGTGAAATTAATGCAGGAGAAGGAGGAAAGCAGTAGAGATTTAAGTTGAGGAATTATATTTACAGATGCTGATAGAGATGCCTCTGTGTACGTATATACACACATCTATGTATCTCTGTATCTTTATAAAACATGTCTTGCTCTGTACTTTGTGCCACAAGTCTGGAGGCCAGATTTTGATGACTTCTGCAGCATTCGTCTCTGAGAAAAAATTTACCTTCTCAGTCTAAATTGCTGTGGATTAAAGCTGGTGCTTAAAAAGTCTGTCAAGAGGCATGCATAAGGCAGATTAAATTCCCTTTCCTTTAAGAATACAAATGGCTTGTCTTAATACAGTATTGCATTTTTTTAGTCTAGGACTAGATCAGGATTTCTGGACTGGGAAGCCATGCTGTCAAAAAACTGGTTCCAAGACTTATTTCAGTGGATTTTGCATGTCATCATACAATTTTACAAATTGTTTCACCATGGTTTCGGCAATTCACAATGTTTAGAAAAATCTTTAGAAAAAAACGTATTAAATATGCTTCTTACTCTATCTGCTGCCATCCAATTTTTGCACAACTCATATTTAGAGACATAAATATTGTCTCAGAAGCAGCAAAATCAAATCATTCATTGATGTGTTAACTTGTACAAAAATGTAGTTACTGTTAGGAAGCTTTACCCAAGGGTTCACAAGCCTCATTCCTTTGCTGTGTTGGTGTATTCTAAGAAAACACACCCTCTGCTATTGGCAGTTCCTTCTGGTAGTTTCTCTATGCTGTGCTGTATGTTAGGACATTACTGTTTTTGTTGGCTTTCATCGCTTTGGGTATCTAGCTAGTCTCCAATGTTACCATGTTCATAATTTTCCCGTTAAAAGTTTGTTAAAAGAATCAAATACATTTCTTAATTTAAAGTTACTGAGAATAATGGAATGGAAAAGACAAACCTGAGATTGTTTTGGCCACCATATTATATAGCAGCTAAGGTAACCCCTCAGCTGAATTGAAATTTGGTTGCTCTGAGTTTAATGTGTAATGTTGGGGTTCTAGTGACTTCTAGTTTGACAAATGCTTATTACTTTATGTTGCAAATATTAAAAGAACATTTGTTTGTTCAACTTATTTTACCAAAGTAAACTTGAAGAAAGTTTAGTCATTATTGTATTATCTACAATTAATCTGGCCCATGTGTATTTTTTATCCTAACAAAGAATGATGGATTAATAGAAATAGTTTTAAAGGATTTTTTTTACACGTGTATTTAAGATTTTTTTCAGTTACAGTAAATTTGAAATGAATGTAATCAGTCTTATTCTTTGTGTAGGATAACTATACTAAATTTAGATATCAAATAATTTTTCAATGAAGAGCACCTTTAACTGAAAGTAATTTTCTTTTTGAAATTTGAAAGTGTTGAAGAACTGACAGTACTTATTTAATTATTTCCAAGTGGTACAAATTCTGGCAGCATTATATAGGTACATTTTCTCTCCTCTTCACATGTGCCATTCAGAACTTCATTTTAATCTAACTTAGTGTGTATTTTTTAAAATAGTAACTGCGTTTTTACAATCATTTGACCTGCAGGTGGAAATGGTGTATTCTTTGTTGTCAATGCTTGGTACTCATGATAAGGATGACATGTCACGAACTTTGCTGGCGATGTCTAGCTCCCAAGACAGCTGCATAGCCATGCGCCAGTCTGGATGTCTGCCCCTCCTCATCCAGCTTTTACATGGCAACGATAAGGACTCTGTCTTGCTAGGAAACTCTCGTGGTAGTAAAGAGGCCCGTGCCAGGGCCAGTGCCGCCCTGCACAACATCATTCACTCCCAGCCGGATGATAAGCGAGGCAGACGGGAAATCCGCGTGCTCCATCTTTTGGAGCAAATCCGTGCTTACTGTGAGACGTGCTGGGAATGGCAGGAGGCGCATGAACAAGGCATGGACCAGGACAAAAACCCAAGTAAGTTCTGAGAACTATATGTGAATGTTGGAAAGGTACTTTGAAATTATTGAGTTTATCAAAGAAATAAATTCTTGTTGAAATATATGCTAGGTTTCTTTTTTAATAAATATGTATATACTTGAAGCTAAGGCAGATTATAAAATAGTATCTATTACAGATGTAACATCCCATTTCTAAATTCAGTCTTTACATGACGGGCTTTGGCATGGTTTCCAGACATGATTTAGAAGTTCATATTTATAATCTACAAATTAATATTAAATTTTACACTCACTGCTATTTCACATTCTAATGGATAATGAAATGTATCTAAATAATCTCCAACTTCTTTTCACTCAGGACATATGCATCTCACTGAGCAGAAGGGATAATTTAAGTATTTTCACTTTGATTTGCTCAGCATAATGTAAACTTATTTAGAATGTTGTCTGTAAGAAATATTTTGATATTAACTATCAGAGAAGTGACAATTTAAGTAAACTGGAGTTTTCTCAAAAGAGAAATGAAAAAAAGAAATCTTCTGGATTGCCTAACTGTTCTTTTTGAATTTGAGAAGTTTTGAGTTAATTTTATACAAATATATAAATATATGCAGTAGGTCTTTATGTCAATAAAACTGCTGAAATCAGTGGGCTCTGTCATTGATATTGGACAAGAATCATTTGTACTTCAGATAGTCTAGTTAAAAAAGTATGAACTTTAAAAGTTCTCAGGAAACAAGGGATTTAAGGAACCAGAGAAATATTTTTACTTCTCTCCATACCAGTGCCAGCTCCAGTTGATCATCAAATCTGTCCTGCAGTGTGTGTTTTGATGAAACTTTCATTTGATGAAGAACACAGACATGCAATGAATGAGCTTGGTAAGACCAAATGTTTTTCTCTAGCTTCCTTCGAAAAGCTTGCTGGGTATGCTGATATTCCTTTCTTCTAACCTTCGTTGAATGTGAAGGTTTTTTAACACTCATTTGTATCAGTAGTTGTCTTGTCAGCAATTGATGCAATTTAAATGACCTTGTAGCTAAATGGTTTCCCACTGGACAGGTTATTATGCAAATTATGCTCTTTCTTGCCATGACCTGGGCATTTTGAAAGAGTATTTTTATTATGGAAACATTTCTGATTTCAGATGTATTGGACTTAAAATGGAGACTAATTCTCTAGGAGACTAATTTTCAAGAGATTAATGCAGAGGTTAAACATACTGATAGGTTCATGTGTAATAGGCTGAACTTTGTGATTCATCCTCTGTCAGTTCTCTGCTGTTTTTTATTATAAATGAAAGTATTTTATGTTTTTTTCTGAGAAAATAAAATGCAGTAGTATTAATTAATAATTACCGGATTTTCTAAATAGCTTTTTTGTCACTGGGGTGAATTCATCTGCCAGATGTGTTTTTTCATTCATGTTCCCACCTGTCTGCCACCATCTACAGATGGTGCATCATGCTACCAAGCCTTTCAGTTTGTGCAAAGCTCAAAAGTCACAACCCAGAGTCAGTATTTAACAGTACATTTAAGCAATTATTTATCTTTCTGAGTCTTTTGGATCTCACACACATGAAATTACACTGTGTGCACTGAAGCAGTTTGGTCCTGGAGGTGTGTCCTTAGGCTTGAAATGCTTTTTTATTATTTTTAAAGGAGGGTTGCAGGCCATTGCAGAGCTGTTGCAAGTGGACTGTGAAATGTATGGACTTACAAATGACCACTATAGTGTTACCTTAAGAAGGTATGCTGGAATGGCTCTGACTAACTTGACTTTTGGAGATGTGGCCAACAAGGTAAGTGTAGAATTTCAAGCATACAGTAATTTCAGTTCATTGCTGTGTTTGAATGGTTGTTTTGAATTATGTCTGATTGAAAATCTTCAGGATTGGATTACTTGCTTGTAATAATTACAAGTATTACTTGCATTTGGGATTGCAACAGAAATTCCCTAAGAATCCTTTCCTGTTCCAGAGAATAGGATTACAAGTTTATCAGCTTTCATAATAAAGTTAATTTTAATTTGTCACTGAAACTGAGGATTTATCTCTTGGTTTTATTTTTATGGTACCAATACATTATGTCTTTCAATAGTGTGTAACATCTGATGATTTCCTGATTTCTAATAAGGGCTTTGCTTTCAAATGATATAATAATAAGTACTTTTCTCAGACTTTTACAAGATAAATATTTTAGAATAAGTTCATTCAGGCAAGACTTCTATCTTTCTTCTCTAACAGAAGACAAATGGAAATATAACTGTGTTTCATATTATGCACTTTTTGCTTCAAGTTTAAACATGATAAAGCCTAAATTCCTGGAATAATGAAGTCTTCCCAAAATACGTTCTCTTAAAATCATCTGGTTGGTTAAGACTGAAGCTATTTGGTTTGTGGCACAGATAAAGCTGTGCAGCGATATCATCGTGTTGTACAGCTGATGATGATGTTCAATTCTCTCCCCTTTATTTTTTTCTCATTTCCTAACAGGCTACGTTATGTTCTATGAAGGGCTGCATGAGAGCTCTTGTAGCACAATTAAAATCTGAAAGTGAAGATTTGCAACAGGTAACTTCCTTTTGAGATAAAATACACCTTTAACTTAGACATTTCCATCTCTTCCATTTCATTGTGTTAGATGAAATTACTCCATCTCTACTTTCCTAATGTTTACTTTCATTCTACATATTTTGCCTCTCCACGTGTTATTTTTATATTTGAATTTTTATCTTCTTTGATGGGGTAACTGCTGTGCTGTAACTCTCCTCTCATTTTTATGAAGCTCTTTTAAACATGTATCATCTTTCCTAGTCTGTGTTTTTTTTAACTGCTGTCCTCTTATTGTCTTGTCAGAATTAAGCTCCAGTATCTTTAATGCAAAGTTTCTGTTGTCCCCATTCTGTTAAGAATTAACGATTTAATTGCTGTAAAAATGCTTAACTGTGAGTTAAGCCCGTGAAATACATGCGTGTTTTTTTAAATTCTGATCACCTAGTAGTCAAAAAAGGCAGAAAAGATTTGATGAATGAAATTACTGATTTTAAGTACTGAAAGTTATTTATATTGAAAGAATACTCTTAAGTGCTGTAAGTACTGAAAGACTTTTGCAGGCATTGCTTGTAATGCTTTTAGTTGAGACAATGTTTTGAGCATAAGCAAATGAGGACTTGAAACACAGAACAATAAAAGAGGTGATTTAAAACACAGGTAAATTGTACCCATTGTTGTCAAGAATGAGAATTTAGGCCAAATCACTACCCCTCTAGTATGGATTCTTATGCTCACAGTGTATTTTTAAATGACTTCAAAGAGCTTTAGATGCATTAATAAAAGGAATCATAGCATACCTCTGAGAGAGAGGTAAATATCCTAGTCCTGTTTTACAATAGGGAAAGCTGTGAAGAATATAAATCTCTCTCTTTTGATTACGTAAAAAAGCCTCCACAGACTTGAGAGTTGACGACAAATCTGAAGTTTTGATCCCATCTTTCAGCCACTGTGGAAGGGAACTTGCCAAGGAGGGAAGAGAAAGCCAGGGAACCTGCTTTTATATCTTTGTTTTGCATATGCACACACAAAAGTCAGTACCTTTGATTTAACTTCATAGTGAAATGTTGTGACAGTCTATCTAGGAACAGAATGAAAAACAAATTTCAGCTAAAAGTTAGTTCAGTAGCTGAAAATTACCATTCCTGATGGATTCCATACTGTTCCAGAAATCCAGGAGGATGTGCTGATGACCTACTAAAGAAAGACACAGCTATATTGAGATGTCTTTTCTTTTTCTTTGTTGTTTTGCAGGTCATTGCAAGTGTTTTGAGGAACTTGTCCTGGCGAGCAGATGTAAATAGTAAAAAGACTCTACGTGAAGTTGGAAGTGTGAAAGCATTGATGGAATGTGCTTTAGAAGTTAAGAAGGTATCATATGTAAATGATTGTGTGATAAGTTTTGAAGAGAATGTATTAATTTTACACAAAATACAAACATCTTCCTTTTGACATAAACAGTTGCTCTCATATTTGAAGTGTTTCAGGTAGTTCACAAAATCACGCAGCATCCTGGAGTTCCCAAGGGAACTCTGGAGATCATCTAGTCCTGCTCCAGCAGGGACACCCGGAGCATGGGACACAGGGGAGATTTGGTTTTAATTAACTTGGCAGCAGATCACAAAGTACTAATGACGGCTGAGAACCAGTAATGCTTCCCGGATTTTATTTATGAGGGTTGATACTGTTCAGTTTCACTGTGCAGTTGCACAAGGTGGGCGGTTCTAATGGCACATCCCAAAAGCAGTTTTTATAATATGCCTTTTAATAAAACCATCTTCTAATTTTGTGAATAAATAAACTCCACTTCTTGTGTTCTCTAGATGCACAGTTGGTAATGAGATAAGACCATATGCTGCTCCAGAGTCTTTTGCTTACTAGTCTACGGACCTTTTTTACTGATAATTGACAAGTACTGTGTCTCAGACTTTCTGGCAAGCTATAACAAATTCCTAGATGATGGAAGAAAGGACAAGCAAACAAAAGTAGCTCTGTGTGTAGTGCTGCCTGCCTCAAGTTTAGCAGCAAGGAAAGCAGGAACTGAAACTTACTTGATATTCATGAGGAAAGTGAAAGAAATAGTGGCACATGCAGAAAAACAGGAAAAAACATTGGGCATCCTACATACAATGTGTAGAGATTTCCTGCCAGACAAAAATTAAATTCTGTAATTAGTTGGTAAGAAGCCAAATTCCATAGTCAATGAATTTCTTTGGCTGGGATGGAACCAGTGCAACAGTTCGTTTCTCCAAGCTGTATTTTCAGGCTCTGTGCAGGTTTGGTAGGAATTACTGCTTTTGTTTATTCTTAGTTCACATTTTCAAAGCTATCTTTGCATCCATTGGAGCTAGATAAACAAGTTCCTTAAAATCTCATTGAAGTGACTTACATATTGCCAAGTGCGTATGATTAATAGTGGAAAATTCTCTAATTCTGTTGTTTTATTATTTTCCTAGGAATCCACCTTAAAAAGTGTTTTGAGTGCCTTATGGAATTTGTCAGCACACTGCACTGAGAACAAAGCTGATATATGTGCTGTCGATGGGGCTCTTGCCTTTCTAGTGGGCACACTGACATACCGAAGCCAAACAAACACTTTAGCCATCATTGAAAGTGGAGGAGGAATATTAAGAAATGTTTCTAGCCTAATTGCTACTAATGAGGACCACAGGTGAATATACTTTCTCATCTTCATAAAATCTATAGTGATACCAAAAATGTATTTACTGCACAGTTTGTATGACTGAATTCTAAATGCACGTATTGAGTATAGTAACAAAGAACTAACTTCCTAAGTTAATCTAGCTAAATGGCAAGTATTCCATTTAGATAACAGGACAATGTAAAAGGATTATCTTATTTGCTGCTTGCTAAATGATGAATTGAAGCTTCTCCTGGAAATACAAATTTAGTTATATCAGCGGTTTTATCATTAGTTATATCAGTGGTAGGAAACCATCTAGAATGGAAAATTGCTTCATATGGAGGGTGTTGTTTGGGAGCAAATTATTCATGTCCATAGCATAATTTGCTTAACATTCAAATTTAAATTTAGGAAAACAAAGGTGTATTTGCCTGGGAGAAAGCATATACATCTTTACTTATCTTTACTAAACTTCCTTACAGCCTAATAGGTTTTGATTTGTTTTATCCTTTTAAGTGCCACTTACTAATTCTTGTTTTCAATTGCTCAACACCAGGCAAATCTTAAGAGAGAACAGCTGCTTGCAAACCCTGTTACAGCACCTGAAGTCACATAGTTTGACAATAGTCAGTAATGCATGTGGGACCCTGTGGAATCTTTCTGCCCGAAATGCAAAAGATCAGGAGGCACTGTGGGACATGGGAGCAGTAAGCATGCTCAAAAATCTCATTCACTCAAAACACAAAATGATAGCAATGGGCAGTGCTGCAGCTCTAAGAAACCTGATGGCAAATAGGCCAGCAAAATATAAGGATGCCAATATTATGTCTCCAGGATCAAGCTTACCATCTCTTCATGTTAGAAAACAAAAGGCACTGGAAGCAGAATTAGATGCTCAGCACTTATCGGAGACTTTTGACAATATTGATAATTTAAGCCCCAAAGCTTCTCACCGTAATAAGCAGAGACATAAGCAAAATATATATAGTGAGTATGTCCTGGACTCCAGTCGACATGATGATGGGATTTGCAGAGCAGAGACCTTTAATACTGGTAATGTGACTGTGCTTTCGCCGTATTTAAATACTACAGTACTGCCTGGCTCCTCTTCCTCCAGTAGAGGAAATGCAGAAAGTTCTCGATCTGAGAAAGACAGAAGTCTTGATAGGGATCGTGCCGTGGGTTTAAATAGTTACCATCCAGCTACAGAGAGTACTGGGAACTCCTCTAAGAGAATAGGAATGCAGATTTCTACTGCTGCAGTTCAGATTGCCAAAGTTATGGAAGAAGTAACAAGCATGCACATGCCACAGGAGGACAGAAGTTCTGGTTCCACTTCAGAAATGCACTGTTTGACAGACGACAGAAATGCTCCAAGAAGAACCACCACTGCCCATACTCACCCAAATACATACTTCCCTAAATCTGAAAATCCCAGCAGGACATGTCCTGTGCCTTACACAAAAATGGAGTACAAGAGAGCTTCAAATGATAGCTTAAATAGCGTCAGCAGCAGTGATGGCTATGGTAAAAGAGGCCAAATGAAACCTTCCATTGAATCGTACTCAGAAGATGATGAAAGTAAATTTTGTAGTTATGGTCAATACCCCGCTGACTTGGCACATAAGATACATAGTGCAAATCATATGGATGACAATGATGGAGAGCTAGACACTCCTATTAATTACAGCCTTAAATATTCTGATGAACAGTTAAATTCTGGAAGGCAGAGTCCCTCTCAGAATGAAAGATGGGCAAGACCTAAGCACATAATAGATGAGGAAATAAAACAAAATGAACAACGGCAGTCAAGGAGCCAAAATGCAACTTACTCCATATATTCTGAAAGCGGAGATGATAAACACATGAAATACCAGTCGCCTTTTGGACAACAAGAGTGTGTTTCTTCTTTCAGATCAAGAGGATCCAGTGGTTCTGATCAGAACAGAGTAGGCTCCACACTTGGAATGAATCAGAAAGTGAGCCAGTCCTTGTGCCAAGTTGATGATTATGATGATGATAAGCCAACAAACTACAGTGAGCGCTATTCTGAGGAGGAGCAGCATGAAGAGGAAGAAGACAGACCAACCAATTACAGCATAAAGTACAGTGAAGAGGAACACCATGTAGATCAGCCTATTGATTACAGTCTAAAGTATTCAACAGAAGTTCCTCCTTCTTCTCAGAAGCCATCTTTTACTTTTTCGAAGAGTTCATCAGTGCAAAGCTCTAAAACTGATCATATTTCCTCAAGTAGTGGGAACACATCAGCCCCTTCAGCTAGTTCGAAGAGACAAAATCAGCTTCACCCAAGTTCTGCCCAGAACAGAGGTGGCCATGCTCAAAAGACTGCTTCCTGCAAGACTCCCTCTATTAATCAGGAAACTATACAAACTTACTGTGTGGAGGACACACCAATATGTTTTTCAAGATGTAGCTCACTGTCATCTTTGTCATCAGCTGAAGATGAAATGGGGCGTGATCAAGCCACCTGTGTGACAGATGCTAATAACACACTGCAGATAGCAGAACTAAAAGAAGGCAGTGGGACTCTGTCTACTGAAGGTGCAGTAAATGAAGTTGCATCAACATCACAACACATCAGAACAAAATCCAGCAGACTTCAGACTTCTAGCTTATCTCCTTCTGATTCCTCTAGACATAAAGCTGTTGAATTTTCTTCAGGTGCCAAATCTCCTTCAAAGAGTGGTGCACAAACTCCTAAAAGTCCACCAGAGCACTATGTGCAGGAGACTCCACTCATGTTCAGCAGGTGCACATCTGTAAGTTCCCTGGATAGTTTTGAAAGCCGTTCAATTGCCAGCTCGGTTCAAAGTGAGCCTTGCAGTGGAATGGTAAGTGGTATTATAAGTCCCAGTGATCTTCCAGACAGCCCTGGGCAAACAATGCCTCCAAGCAGAAGTAAAACGCCACCCCCTGCTCAAGGAACTCAAGTAAAGAGAGAAGCAGCTAAAGGTAAGGCACCTAATGCAGAAAAGAGAGAACCTGGTCCTAGGCAGGCAGCTGTGAATGCAGCTGTTCAGAGAGTGCAAGTACTGCCAGATGCTGACACCTTACTACATTTTGCCACAGAAAGTACACCAGATGGATTTTCTTGCTCTTCTAGCCTAAGTGCTCTGAGTCTTGATGAACCATTTATACAGAAAGACATAGAGTTAAGAATAATGCCTCCTGTACATGAAAATGACCACGGAAACGAAACAGAACCTGAACAGTCAGATGACACAAAGGATAATCAAGAGAAGAAAGCAGAGAAATCTGCTGATGCAGAAAAAGACATTCTGGATGATTCTGATGATGATGATATTGAAATACTGGAAGAATGTATTATTTCTGCAATGCCAACAAAATCTTCACGTAAAGCCAAAAAGCCTTCTCAAGCATCTGCTTCAAAAATACCTCCTCCTGTAGCCAGGAAGCCAAGCCAGCTGCCAGTTTACAAACTTCTGCCTTCACAAAGCAGACTGCAGTCCCAGAAGCACGTGAGCTTTACCCCTGGAGATGACATGCCGCGGGTATATTGCGTTGAGGGCACACCAATAAATTTCTCAACAGCTACATCTCTAAGTGATCTCACGATAGAATCTCCACCAAACGAGTTGGCCAATGTAGAGAACGTGGGTACTGGGGTAGACGCAGCGGAATTTGAAAAGAGAGATACCATTCCAACAGAGGGCAGGAGTACAGATGAAACTCAGAGAGCAAAAAGCTCCGCTGTCACTGCTGCAGGTCTGGAAGATGACAAAACAGAAGAGGGCGATATTCTAGCTGAGTGCATTAACTCAGCTATGCCAAAAGGGAAAAGTCACAAGCCTTTCAGAGTAAAGAAGATAATGGATCAAATTCAGCAAGCGTCTTCAGCTCTAAGTAACAAAAATCAATCAGGAGGAGAGAAAAAGAAGCCAACATCACCAGTAAAGCCTGCTCCCCAAAATAATGAGTACAGAGCACGAATAAGAAAAAACACAGAGCCTAAAAGCAACATTAGTAATGAAAGGAGCTATTCAGAAAACAGAGATGCAAAGAAACATCTTAAAAATAATTCAAGAGATTTTAATGATAAACTTCCAAATAATGAAGAGCGTGTAAGAGGAAGCTTTGCCTTTGATTCCCCTCATCATTACACACCTATTGAGGGAACTCCCTACTGTTTTTCACGAAATGATTCCCTAAGTTCTTTAGATTTTGATGATGATGATGTTGATCTTTCAAGGGAAAAAGCAGAATTAAGAAAAGGAAAAGAAGCGAAGGAAATGGAAAGCAAAGACTGTGTGAATCCTGAGCAGACTTCAAATCAGCAGCCAAGTAATAGGACACAAGTCTGTCAAAAACACCCAGCAAGCAGAAGCCAGTCTAAAACTTTCTCTCCATCAACTAAAGATATTCCAGACAGAGGAGCAGCTACAGATGAGAAAATGCAGAATTTTGCTATCGAAAATACCCCTGTTTGTTTTTCTCGCAATTCATCTCTTAGTTCCCTCAGTGATATTGATCAGGAAAACAACAACAAAGAAAGCGAACCTGCAAAACGAAATGAGGTTCCTGATTCTCAGATGGAATCAAACAGACCTCAGACTTCTGGTTATGCGCCAAAGTCATTCCACGTGGAAGATACACCTGTGTGTTTCTCTAGAAACAGCTCCCTGAGTTCTCTTAGTATTGACTCAGAAGATGATCTTTTGCAGGAATGCATTAGTTCTGCTATGCCTAAAAAGAAAAAGCCTTCAAGAGTGAAGAATGAAAGTGAAAAACATAATTCTAGAAATATGGGTGGTATACTGGCAGAAGATTTAACACTGGATCTGAGAGATATACAAAGGCCAGAGTCGGAGCATGGTTTCTCACCTGATTCAGAGAACTTTGATTGGAAAGCTATACAAGAAGGTGCAAATTCTATAGTTAGTAGCTTGCATCAAGCTGCAGCTGCTGCATCACTGTCTAGACAAGCTTCATCAGACTCTGATTCTATCCTTTCCTTGAAATCTGGTATTTCTCTAGGGTCACCATTTCATCTTACCCCAGACCAAGAAGAAAAGCCTTTTACTAATAATAAAGGTCCAAGAATTCTTAAGCCAGGAGAGAAAAGCACATTGGAGTCTAAAAAAGTAGAATCTGAAAACAAGGGGATTAAAGGAGGGAAGAAAGTATATAAAAGTATTATTACAGGAAAAGTTCGCTCCAATTCTGAAGTTTCGGCCCAGCTGAAGCAACCGCAACAAACACCTATGCCTTCAATTTCACGTGGTAGGACAATGATTCATATTCCAGGAGTTCGAAATAGTTCCTCAAGTACTAGTCCTGTTTCCAAGAAAGGCCCCCCAGTGAAAAACACAAGCTCCAAGAGTCCAAGTGAAGGGCAAAGTTGCACCAGTTCTCCAAGAGGAGTCAAGTCATCAGTGAAATCTGAGCCAGCTCCTGTAACAAGGCAGCCCTCTCAGCAGAGTGGATCAAGTAAAGGACCTTCTCGGTCAGGATCTAGAGACTCCACTCCTTCCAGACCTCAACAGCAGCCATTAAGCAGACCGCTGCAGTCTCCAGGTCGAAACTCAATTTCTCCAGGAAGAAATGGTATAAGTCCTCCCAACAAACTGTCTCAGCTGCCAAGGACATCATCTCCCAGTACAGCTTCAACTAAATCTTCAAGTTCAGGAAGGATGTCTTATACCTCGCCGGGCCGGCAGATGAGCCAACAAAACCTTACAAAGCAAACTGCCTTACCTAAGAGTAACAGCGGCATTCCCAGAAGTGAGTCTGCTTCAAAAGGATTAAACCAGATTCTCAGTAGTGGTGGATCCAACAAAAAGACTGACCTGGCCAGAATGTCATCTGCAAAATCTAGCGGAAGCGAATCTGACAGATCTGAGAGACCTGTTCTGGTTCGTCAGTCAACTTTTATTAAGGAAGCTCCGAGTCCAACTCTAAGGCGGAAATTAGAAGAGTCGGCTTCGTTTGAATCTCTCTCCCCTTCCAGACCAGATTCTCCCACCAGATCCCAAATACAGACACCAGTTTTAAGTCCATCTCTTCCTGATATGTCTTTATCCAGTCATTCAACTGCACAGAGTAGTGGTTGGCGGAAATTACCTCCTAATCTGAGCCCTTCAGTGGAATATGATGGGAGACCCGTGAAACGTCATGATATAGCTCGTTCTCATTCTGAGAGTCCATCTAGATTGCCCATCAATAGATCAGGAACGTGGAAGCGTGAGCATAGTAAGCATTCCTCATCGCTGCCTCGTGTCAGCACTTGGCGAAGAACTGGGAGCTCTTCTTCAATTCTGTCAGCTTCTTCCGAATCCAGTGAAAAGGCAAAAAGTGAAGACGAAAAGCAACACGGAAGTTCTGGACCTAAGCAAAGCAAAGAAAGTCAAGCACCAACAAAAGGTACTTGGAGAAAAATAAAAGAAAATGAAATTACTCAAATAATGAATGATCCTCAGCATTCTTCTTCAGGTGCAACGAATGGCTCTGATTCCAAAACTCTAATTTATCAGATGGCACCAGCTGTCTCTAAGACAGAGGATGTGTGGGTGAGGATAGAAGACTGCCCAATTAATAATCCTCGATCTGGAAGGTCTCCAACTGGAAATACTCCCCCTGTTATTGACAGTGTTCCAGAGAAAGCGGCTGTGAGTAGTAAAGATTCGAAAGACAGTCAAGAAAAACAAAATGCGGGGAATGGAAACGTTCCTGTTCGTACCACTGGTTTAGAAAGTCGTCTGAACTCATTTATTCAAATAGACAGTCCAGACAAGAAAGGAATTGAAGCAAAACCTGTGCAGAATAACACTGTACCTGCACCAGAAAATAACGAGAGCACGGTCAGTGAGCGCACGCCGTTCAGCTCCAGCAGCTCCAGCAAGCACAGCTCCCCCAGCGGCGCTGTGGCAGCGAGGGTGACTCCCTTCAACTACAACCCAAGCCCCAGGAAAAGCAGCGCAGACAACAGCTCTGCTCGGCCGTCGCAAATACCAACGCCGGTAAATAACAGCACCAAGAAGCGTGACTCCAAGACAGAAAACACAGACTCCAGCGGAACTCAGAGCCCCAAACGCCATTCAGGTTCCTACCTGGTGACTTCTGTTTAAATATATATATTAAAAAAAAAAAAGTAAAACTGATGTATTATTTACAGCAGCTATTAAGAAAACATTTGTTTCACATGAAACTTTAAGATTGGGGATTGGTTTTATCTGTTGTTTTTATTTTTTGTAAATAGGTTTGATTCTTGTTAGAGGGTCCTTGTTCTGGAAGCCATATTTGATAGTATACTTTGTCTTCACTGGTAATATTTTGGAGGGATACTTGACTGACAGTTTGGAGTTAAAAATTGCTAGTGCAATGATATTTGTACAGTATGTTTAACATGTATTTAATTAGCCTCCCATCTCATAAGTCTTTAAATATTGCTTGTGTTGAAATCATGAACATTACAGCTAGAGACCATCTAGTCATATTGCCTATCAACCATTTCTAGACTACAGACTGACTAAACTACATCAGGGATTAATTGGTATTATTTATGCAAAAAAAAAGTATACTCAGTTTTAGTAATTGTGAGTCCACCTAAACCAATAATTAATCATGTGGCTGTGAAATTCACAGTAATATGGTTTCTGCTGAACAAGCTTTCCTGGCCTGCTTTTCTGCATGATTGGAACTGATGGTTCATTTTCTGAAGTAATGATTAACATTTCTGTGGTCACATAATGTGCATAGATAGCTATGGTGTAACAATTTACACTTCTTGTGCTCTGCATCAAAAGGAAAACTGTGTAACTGTAAAACCTTGAAAAAAAATATTTTACCTGAACTAGACTTTATCTTAAAGTAGGTAGAATTTTTTTGCTATGCTGTAACTTGTTGTATATTCTGGTATTTGAGGTGAGATGGCTGCTCTTTTATTAAGGAGAAATGGGTGATGTCTCAACCGAGACTAAAATGAACATTTCAGAATAAATTATTACTATATGTAAAATGTGTGTGTTACTTCTGCATTACATAAAAAGACGCTATTTTATTTTGAGATGTCACCTTATAATGTGTTGTAATATGCACTTACACTTACGGCCTGCTCCAGCAGAATCCTGCACCTCCATGATTCATCCTTTTTATCTCTGGCATTAGCTGTTGTAGGATGCTGGCCACAGTTGCAGGATCAGGCCCTAGGTCTTCTGTACCATAATTTGTAATTGAGACGGTTTCACACATCTCAGGTGCATAACAAGGCTAAAGGCAGGGTATTTCCAGAGATCGAGCAGTATAATTGTTTTCATGACTTGTCTACAAGCCAGAAACAAACAATATTGTATGTACAAAAGTAGTATTTATAAAACAAAATTTTTTTTAGAATTGGGAGAAATAATATAGAATGTGAAATAGTGACTATGAGATGAAATTTTAATTCTATTTGAAATCTTCATGTGTTTTTTAATTTATTTTTTAAAAATAATGGAGGTAAAAATATTGCAAAAATCCCATGATAAGAAATATGTTACTATATTAGAACAATTTTATACACAAGCCAGGACATTTGCTGCCTCAAGCCTTTTTCATGTGAATATGGTTTGTGCTTAAAAGAGAAATTTGTGCTAAAAATATATATACGTGGTCTGAATTTAGATGTGATTTGTTTTAAAGTAGAAACACTTAGAATATAATACTAACCCTTATGTGTATGATTGAACAAGCCATGATATGGCATTTCAGTTTGTTATTTATCTCAACTCAGCTGTTCTGATGCTAGCATTCTAAATAATTGGTATTTAGGATTCAAAATGCCCTGATTTCAGTATTCCCTGAAACAGAGCAATTTAATTTTATGGTAGCATTAATGCAGTTAGAGTGTATCACATCTGTGGTTGTTTTACTTCGTTTGACATTGGAATTAATCTATTTTTATCTTAAATTCTGCATAAGAAATAAGATACCATCAACAGAAATCAACTAAGATTAAATTAAAAGATACTGCCGAATATCATTTTGGAAGAAGTATCTTATTTACTCATTTATACTTTATCTGTCATCAAATTTGCTTACGGACATGCAATATTTTTTATCATCTAGTGAATCTGTTATCAAGCAGCATTCCTCATTTAATGTATTTGCATATGTTAGTCATCACAGAAAATTTTAATGAATGTTACTGACCTTTTAAAGATGAAGAATTAAGAGATGGAGAAAGATTGGCTTCTTGAGAGCTCTCACAGAGTGATTTGTTCAAAGTCAGCATGTCCTTCTCAAGTAGAATACAGAACTCCATCTCTATGTTTAAAATGAAAGATTATCTTTCATATAAATTGGTATTTTGTGTGTGTGTGTTTATGTGTTAGGCTTTCAGCTTTTATTATGTAGGTATACTGTGTAATCCAGGATGGTCAGTTGTCATCAGCTTTGCATATACATCCTGCTTAGATGTTTAAAGTTATACTGAATCCAAATAAAGAAATTCTGATTACATTTTTATAATTGAGCAAGGAGGAAAAAAAGGGACAAAATAATACATAGCTGTATGCATTGTGCACTAAAATGTCTTTGGAAATTGTAGTGGCCTCTCTAGTCTTGGTAATATTGGGGATATTTCAAGATCATTATAATTGGGAAGTTTCTCTTAATATCTTTACAACTAGCTTATATTTGTAGCAAAAATTATGTAAGATAAACTTCTCAACTGTAAGGGTAGTAAAACACTGAAATATGCTTCCCATGGGAGTCTTTAACTTTCCATTATAGAAGTTTTAAGAAGAGGTTTAGCAAACATCTCTTAGGGATGGGATTTAGTGTATTTCATACTGCTTCTATGCAGATGGGCTTAGGTGACCTATAGAAATCCCTTCCAGACTTACATTTTTCTGATTCTACATCTAAAATATTCAATATCCATTAAAATATGTTATAGCTTATTTAAAGATATCTATGATGTTTGATTTATCTTAGCAATTAGGATACAAAGATGTGTTTAACTAAAAATGGATGCCAGAAATAAAATCCATACCCCACATACATGTTTTAAAGACATTTCCATTTTTCTGGTTCAGTAGCATTGTCTAGGCTAATGATAGCCAGTTTGGTTTATATGCTAAAGACATGCACTTGGTTGCTTGTTTTTATTTCTGTAAAGTCACCACAATAAATAACAGGACATTACTTATATCAAGCCAAAAAGAAGAAAAATAAGGATATATGGGAACCAAGAGTCATCTACTGTTTTTTTTATTGTGCATTACCTTTCCTCCTCCAGAACCTGTTGTAGTTTTGTGATTTTGCTTGCAGACCTTTAGTTGTCTTTGAATTAGCTTACTGTTTCCAGTGCATATCAAACTAGTACCTGAAAATCAGTTTACTCTGACAATATTCTTAATGCTGATTTTAGACTGACTTAGAGCTTTGTCCTCTTGATGTGAAAGTGGAAGCATGACCACCTTGCAAGTCCTAATGCACTTTCTTAAATATACATTAGTTTTAGTTTCTCAATGAAAGGTACATGTACCACAGGTATGGTTACTGCTTAGTTTCTGTCGAAGTTCTTCTTCTGATTGAAGATTGCAAGCTTCAAAAGGGAACTAATCTGTTTATATTTTTCATTTGAAATTTTCCATTAGAGCATTTTTCCCTGAAAGCTTAAAGATAATTTTCAAATCTCTTTATCAGAGATGTCAGCTTAAGAATTGAAAGCCTCAACAGGCTTTCCTGACCTGATTGGAATATTGTTTCAAACAAGGCTTGTCTTCAAAGCGCAACCTTTTGTTTATGCTGACATCCTCAATGTGGCTAATTTTCTGCTACTTCTTTAGGGAAGTTGAACACTGTGTCGTGGGCAAAGGGGAGAAAAGGAGAGATTTCAGAGATTCTCAGACATCTTTCCACGGTGATGTATTTTTTATTTCCCAATACATTGGAGGAAAAAAAAAAAAAACACAAGGGGAACAACAGTGGTCCACAAATTAATGAGATTTTAGTTTTGAAACTATGCAAGTGGACTCTGAAAATACCAAATTCTTGTCTGCTGATCTGACAGCTGAACTCTGGTTTTGAACCTCTCCACCCTCACTCCCATTAAAGCTAATGGAAGTGGCCTTTCCCATGTGCCTGGCTATGCAGTCCTCAGGAGCAGGAGGTTGAAAACTGCCAGGGCTAGTGACGGGATAACTGGGATGGCTTCCTGTGGCAGATGGAGATTGCACCATCAGATTGACCATTCATGCAATTTCAGCCTGACACGCATTGTTCACAACTGTTCTTCACCCTAAGTTTTGATACAGCAAAAGCAAATTTGGGCAAAACATCTGCAAAAGCAAGATTTTGGGCTCTTTGGCTGCTGTTCACTGTGAACTTCTGCTCAATAGCTCCGTAGCACATTGCATTTAAATATATAATGCTCTAGAAAACACCTTTTTCCTGGAAACACTAACTAAAGTTTGAATTAATCTGTAGTTTGTGGAAAAGATATTTTTCTTCATCAACACTTTCCCATTTTTTTTCTGTCAGAAGCAAACATCCAGGTGACAGTTTTAAAAAGTTCAGTGTTAATGTGTAAATCCATCCATAAATATATTTACTGCAGCTAGTTCTGCAGGAGAGACTTGAAGGAGAAGAGAACATAATTCTCCCTAAAGAAGAAATTACTACTTATGGGGATGTCTGGAAAATATTTAGGTAATTTACAAACTCTTGTATGTTCTTCTTGTTAGATGCCTTCCAAACTGTCTTTTTCTCACCTTGCTGGCTAAGTACTGCAAGAGTGCACTCTGCAAGAGTGTCTCTCATGATCCTCCACCTACACATAACGTCATTTATCTCGTGCAATGCCTTCCAAAAATTCATCTGCCTGACGGGCAGCACTGGTCTTGTTGAGATGTGTGCTCTGGATGAAGCTGTCAGTCATTATGAAGCATGATTTTCTCCACACGGTCAAAACCCTGAGGACTTTTTTGCCCCCAAATGTGTTCACCTTTTGGTCCCACAGCCATCTCTTCTACACTTCTAAGTAAAAGCGTAAAAATGTCCACACTCTTCTTTCGTTTCAAATCATATAAAAAAAAATTCATTCCAGCTTCATAGTTTCCTGTAGGCAGAATAAGAGATTGTATCTGTAAATGTGTGTATAGAGAATGTTGATGTAGTTAAGGTTGAGTTTTTAGTCAGAGCGGTAAGTTGGCTGATTGTGTGTTGTGTTTGGTTACTTAAAATGAAAGGGGATCCAGTGTGGGACTGAAGGACCTTAAGAGTTCACAACAGTATGAGCTATTACCAGTTCATAACAGGTATCATGACAGTTCTTACCAGGTATCGGAATGAACTGTTTATGTCTAGATGAATACGAAGAGTGTAAATAATACCTCACTTTCAGTCTACCAGCTATGCTCTTTGCTTACAGGAAGACCAGGTCATGCCTCCCCAGGACAGACTTGCAAGTGATCTATTCCTCATGAATTTTCAAAACAGTTCTGGCTTTATGTATTCACAAATGTCTGCCAGTGTAAGATTTGAGAAAAGCCGCCTAATTTTGCTGTTTGTGGAAACATACTTTGCTTGAGTGACTGTAGAACTGAAATTAGGATATCATGGAGAGGAGGCTTGTTCAGTCCGTGAAATACACTCATGTCCAGAGTAAGGGGCCAAGACTGATTTTCTCTTATGCCCTACTTTTTAGTAGGATATCAAATGCAAAAAGCTTATGCTGGTTCGCTGCAAAAAATACTCATCCTTTGAGATCGGATGCATTCTCCCACCTGTAAATGTTGTATCTTAACAACTCAGCCCACAATTACTTTTCCTTCAGTTTTGTTGTTTGCTTCTGCCTGAGATGCATTACTGTTTATATCCTAACTCTGTAATTAATTCTTTCTTCAACTACTCTGATGTATTTTGTTTCACAGTATATTAATTCTGATTTTAGGCTTGCTATGCATAACTTGCTGCTTGCAGTGTTACATAAAATTTCCTCTTGATTGCACCTTGTCAGACTG